TCTTGAAGGGATTTTGACAGAACAACGAAAGAGAATGCCTTGGCTGGAGGGAACACAGCCAGCTGATGAAAATGAATGGAAATCAGTTGATCAGCCGCAGGTGGGTGGGTCGTCACGCCCGTAATCCCAGCGACTATTGGAGGCCGAGGCAGGTGGATCACTAGGTCAGAGTCTGAGCCATAGCCTGGCCCAACTGGTGAACTCCTCATCTCTGGACTTACAGAGTACAAAAATTAGCCAGGGCATGGTGGCAGGACCTATGAAGTCCAGCTACTCCAGAGGCTGGGCTAGGAGGAATTGCTGAACCCGGAGCGCGGGGTTGGCAGTGAGCCCAAAAATGATTGCACCAATTTGCATCCCCCTTGGTAACAGAGTGAGACTCTCGATCCAAAAAAAAAAAAAAAGAAAGAAAAGAAAAGAATCAATTGTCCAGCGCTTCTTTCCACAATGAGGTGGTATTTGGCCCGAGTGAATCTCAGAAGATTGATTTTGTTCCTCCGGGAGAGAGAGGCCTGTCACTGGTTTTGCTCGCTGGTCAGTACATCTGCAGGCCTCTTAGCAGAACAAAACGGCTATCTGCTTGGACGAGTTGGGACAGAGTGGGCAAGGCAAAAAGGACATCAACAAACCCATCAAAAAAAAAAAAAAAAGCCGGCGCGGTTGGCTCAATGCCTGTATCCCGCACTTTGGGAGGCCGAGATTGGCGGATCACGAGGTCAGGAGATGAGACCATCCTGGTACAAGGTGAAGCCCCGTCTTACTAAAAAATACAAAAAACCTAGCCGGCGAGAGGTGTGGCGCGCCTGTAAGTCCCCAGCTACTCGGGGAGCTGAGGCAGGAGAATGGCGTTAAACCGCGTAGGCTGGAGCTTGCGTGCTGAGATCCGGTCCATTCGCATTCCAGCCTGGGTGACAGGAGTCGAGGCTTCGCCTCAGGGTGAGCTGCCCACCTTGGCCTCCCAAAGTGCTGAGATTACAGGCATGAGCCACCACACCTGGTCTAATTCGCTTTTCCTGAAATTCAAATGGTCTAATATGAAAAATGCCAACCTTGCTTGAAAGAATAAGAAAGAGGTGTGGTTTCATTGGGCTGGTCGTGTTTGGAACAGGACTGGCTTTGTCCCCTTGCTTGGGAAGGGCAGCATCTGTGAGGACACCT